ATATTCTCGATAAATACAATCACTGACCGATCCAACATCGGCCTACACACCCTGTTCATGAGATCCATGAACGCTGCTGGGGCATTGGTGAGCCAGAATGGCATCACCACAAACTCATAGTGGCCGTACCGCGTCCTGAAAGTTGTCTTCCATATATCCTCATCCCTAATCCTCATCTGATGGTACCCCGACCGAAGATCAATCTTGGAAAACCAAGATGCACCTTGCAGTTGATCGAACAAATAATCGATACTCGGGAGCGGATAACGGTTTTTCACCGTTATCTTGTTCAACTCTCGATAATCAATACACATCCTGTGTGACTCGTCCTTCTTTTTTCACGAACAGGATCGGTGCTCCCCACGGAGAACTGCTCGGACGAATAAACCCTCGGTCTAGCAGCTCCTGAAGCTGTGTAGACAACTCTTGAAGCTGCGTAGACAGCTCATGGATCTCAGGCAGAGCTAGCCGGTACAACGCCTTAGCTATCGGAGCGACACCCGACACCAAATCACTGCGAAACTATGCTTGCCTCTCCGGAGGCACCCCTGGCAACTCATCGGGAAAGACATCCCGAAAATCTCGTACAACCGGTACACTACCCAAATCTGTCGTGGGCTCAACCCTCGTATCCGAGATGTATGTAAAAAATTTCGAACAACCCTGATGGAGAATTCTCCTAGCCCTCGCAGCTGAACAGAGTGTTGGCCCCTGCGAGGCCCTCTCCCCATGAATAACTAGTTCTCCCCCACTTGGGGTTCGAACTCTCACCAGCTGGCATTCGCAATCTATCATGGCCCCATTGGCCCCCAACCAGTCCATCCCGACGATCACTTCCATCCCTCGCAACGGTATCGGGACTAGAGTAACACGGAACCTCTCCCCAAGCACATTCAGGACACAGTCCCGATACACTCTCGCAGCACTCACAGTTCGGTCATCCGAAATCTCAACCTCAAGCGGGGAATCCAAAGTCCTCGGCGCATCCCAAAACTTCTTGCTAAGCGCAAGATATACAAACGATCGGGTAGCACCCGAATCGAATAGAACGTGAGCCGACATACCATTGACCAAAAAGATCCCTATACATGAGCATACATATACACATAAGCAATACAATTCAATATCAAGCAGAAAAATAAAATACGTACCAGCCACGACGTTTGGCATTGCCCGAGCCTCCTCAGTAGTCAACTGAAACGCGCAACTCTTCACCGCAGGAGCATCCGCCTTAGCAGGGCGGCCATTAGTGATCCTCATTGTGGCGGGCGCAGGCGCCGCCGCTGCTCCTCCTCCTCCCAGTAACCTTGGACAATCGGCATGTTTATGGCCGGTCTGGTTGTAGTGGAAACAAATCAAGCCCTTCTTGGGGCAATCCCTGCTCATGTGACCCGGCTGGCCACACGCGTAACATCCCGAGCCCGCTGACAAGCCCCACTGTGCGGCTTACCTCACTTGGCACACCGGCCATGGCCCTGCTGGCCCCTACTGGAAGAATCAGAGGTCTTAGGCTTTTTAGCCTGACCTACATCTATCTAAATCTGCTCTGGCTTCCACTTGGTGCGGAACTCCAACTCCATCTCCCTCTCACGGGTCTTCTCCACCATCTCATTCAGGGTTTTGCACCATGCAAATCTCACAAACTTTCAGATATCATCCCTCAACATGGAATGATACCTCGTCCTCCTCATATCCTCGTCCATAGCATACCGCGGGATCAACAATGCTCGTTCCCGAAACTTAGCAGTGATCTCCACCACAGTCTCGGTGGTCTGTTGGAGCTCCTGGAACTCCCTCACTAATCTTTGCACCTCAATGGGTGGTGCAAACTCCAGATCAAAGCCTCTGACAAACTCTGCCCATGTCATCTTATCCACGCCAGCTGCCCTCACCTGACTGGTCACCTTCCCCACCAGTCCCGGGCTCGGTCCCTCAGCATACACGAAGCAAACCCCACCTTTGCCGCATCAGGGCAAGAGCTCGTGTGCTGGGCGTTCTCCATGTCTGCCACCCAGCATCGGCTAACTATGGGGTCCCTGACCCCGAAGAACTCTGGTACCCCACACGCCTTAAACTCCTGGAACGAGGGAGTTCGGGCCCGATCTGGCCTGCAGCAATCTCGGATCTGAACGACCTGAGCCGCTCCTCCATGATCTCCATCATCCCTTCCTTGACTGTCCCAAAAATCACTGGGGTAGCGTCAAGGATGCCCCTCGTAACCTCGGCTGCAATAAGCTCGTGCAGCCTCTCATCAATGGGCTCGGTACCGTCGCCCGACCCAGATCCGGATCCTGATCCTGATCCTGATCCTGATCCTCCTGCTCCAAATCGTGTCACCACCATCCTGATAAGACAAAATGATCAAGATAATCACGGTTCTCCTTAGAGCTTCCAGATCTAACATCAGTTCGGGTACAGGTCATGTGCTTTCAGTGGTACGGGCCCAATACTACCTTCCACACCTACCTGTACCTTCCCCAAAGCTCTACCTGATAACTCTAATTCGTCCCAGAACAAAACATATCTCATAGGCTGCTGCATATTCAAATCCTAGGTTATCCTAAGGTTTGCTCAATCCCATCAAACCAGAACTCAAATCAATCATAACAGGTTGCCTTATGTATGCAAATTATACACAGAACAGGATCAAATAGACTTTCGAATAATAGACTCTACCCTAGGACCACAACCAGACAAGGAACAGTAAATAAGACCAAATCAATCATTCTAAGGCTATAAGATCCTAACCGTATACAATTTTTAAAGCATACACATAGCAAAATCCATCCGACTATCATAATCCAATTAGCAGTATAACATGGCTAACATATTGGGGAACTACTTACTTGAGCTCGGCCGATCATGCGCATTGCACTCTCCCCTTTTTCCATTTTAAGAAGTTTTTACTTTTGATTTCTGAAAACAATTTTACCATTTCCTTAGTTTGAGTCCTGACACACCCGAGAGTGTGCCCGAATCCCTCAAAACAAGGTTCTGATACCAACTTGTAACGACCCAAATTTTTCAAATAATTTTTCATTTTTAAATAATCAAAACATTCCCATAAACCATAAAATCTCAATGACAATTGTTTTCAAATTCATAACATCAACATTTTATTTCAAATATCAAAGTGTACCCATAAAATGCCTGAGAGAGTGCATGTCGCGCCATCTTACATTGCCCTTGCCCTTAGGCTCTGAAGTACCTGAAACAATCAACAAACTGTAAGCTAATGCTTAGTGAGTTCCCCAGAGCATACCCCGCAGAATCCACATAATCACATAAACCATATTAGCTATATAAGCTACATAAACCACAAGCTATGCATACAAACATATAAGGATGTCGTGGGCTCCTACCAGGGTCTTACTCTAGGATGGCATGGGCTCCCCCACATGGTCTTACACCTAAGTGTCATGGGCTCCCCCATGGTCTTTAGCTGGAAAGCCATGGGCTCCCCCCACATGGTCTGACATCCAAGTGTCATGGGCCCCCCCATGGTCTTTACATGAAAATCCATGGGCTCCCCCACATTGTCTTACATCCAAGCGTCATGGGCTCCCCTATGGTCTTTCATGCAAGTATCACATATACAACTAGCATACCACCTGGCATATAACCAACTAGCATACCACATATCACTACATCAACCGGTGTACCATATATCACAAAATGGGTCGGCCTTGGTGCCTTAGACCCATTGGTATGGTGAGGAGACTCACCTCTCAAGTATGTTGAACTGATAAGATAAGATAAGATAAGTCCCAACCCACAACTCCAACTCAACTTCCTACAACCATCATGTGACTAACGTTGTTAAAATCCCGAAATACCAAAAATACCTTCAAAGTCAAACTTGGTCAACCATGGTCAAAGTCAAGGTCAACAATCCATGTTGAACCAACTCGTCGAGTGCATCTAGCAACTCGTCGATTTCCTTTAGGGTTCAGAAAGTCGGGGAAAACCCTAACCAACTCGTCGGGTTATCTTATCAACTCGCCGAGTTTACTTTGCATACAGAAAACGGGAAAACCCAATCCAACTCGTCGAGTTGCCAGGGCAACTCGTCGAGTTTCCATGTCTTAACGTGTTCAGCCCCTTCCAATCGAATCCAATGCCCCAAACTACAGATCTAGTCCCTTAAGACTGAAATACCACGTAAAGTTGCAAACTTTACGTGCATGCAAGACCTCAAGAGGCTAAAACACTAAAACTAAGCTTCATACAAGGTTTTGGGCATGGAGAAGGGCCAAGAGTAGATAAAGTGAGCAACTTTATGTTCATTGAGGCCTAGAGGTGTCTAGATCTGAAACCATATCCACATGACAAGTTCAAATCCGAGAATGACACCATTATGTACCAAAAGTGACCATTTACTTCTATAAGAGGAGATCTAAGCAAATAAAGGTCAAGGTAGCAACTTTATACCTCAAGATGGTTGCCAAAACACAGTAGATGTCGGATCTATAGACTCCTTCTCACTTTAATGTTCTCAATCTTCAAGTTTCCTTCCAAAGAGCACAAGATTTACTCTCCAAAGCTCACACTAACTCAAGAAAGCACTAAAGCACGGCTAGGGTTTCTCTCTGGACAGTAAGGACGATGAGGGAGGCCATAAATGAGCCATAAGTTATTTAAATAGGGTACAAAACCCTGAAAATTAGGGTTTCCTTTTCCAGTGTCTACTCGTCGAGTCGGGGCCTTCCAACTCGTCGAGTCGGTTCCTTCCAACTCATCGAGTAGACCTTAAGTCCCGCGTCCGAAAAGACCTTTACTCGTCGAGTTGGGGCTCCCCAACTCGTCGAGTCCCAGTGTAAAACCCTAAAAATTTGAGAAATAAATGATACCTAGAACAAGCATTACACAAATCAGATTCATAATGAACCCACTGCATTTTTTTTATTTGCTTTGCTTCTAACCTGTTAGATAATTGATGATTTCTTTTGTGGTTTTCTAGTGAATTATGAAAGATAATGAAGATATCATTGTTGACAATAATGTGGAGGGTGACAATGAAGAAAGTGAAAGTGATGATTAAGTTAAAGAAGTTGCAGCACCAAATGAATCTCAAGGACTTGAAAGTACTTCTACAAAGAAAAGAAAAACGAGGACAACAAATTCTGATGTTTGGAAAAGTTTTACTAAATTACCTAGAAAAACACCAGATGAAATCTTATATTATGTGTGCAACAAATGTGGTAAAAGATATCAAGCAAGAAGTGCTTGCAGTACCGGTAATCTAATTCGCCATCGAACCAAATGTGAAAATAATAATACCATAGATATTGGTCAATATATGATTTCTGCTAGCAAAGGTGTAATGAATATGAGAACTCCAAATTTTAGTTAAGAAAGACTTAAGAAATTGTTGATTGAAGCTATTGTTAGACATGACTTGCCATTATCCGTTGTTGAGTATGAAGGAATTAGAAATGTTTGCAAATACTTGGAACCAAATGCCAGTCATATTTGTAGGAACACAACAAAGGCAGACGTCAAAAAGTTATATGCAAGTCAATGTGATAGACTTCGTGGCGAGTTGCTTAAATGTCCAAGTAGAATATGTTTGACTTCTGATACTAGGACATCTATTGTTACAAATGGTTATTTAAGTTTGATTGCCCATTATGTTGATAGCAATTGGGTCTTACAGAAGAGGATTTTAAATTTTTCCGAATTCCCTCCTCCACATACTGGTGTTGCTATTGCGGAAATGATTAGTGGGTTGATAAAAAGTTGGGTAATTGAAAGGAAGTTGTTTTCTATCACTTTGGATAATGCTTCCTCCAATGATGTTTGCGTTGGATTGCTTAAGAATCAATTTCGTTTGATGACTTCTTTAGTATATGATGGTAAGCTGTTTCATTTGAGATGTTGTGCCCATATTCTTAATTTGATTGTTCAAGATGGGTTGAAACAAATTGATGTTGATGTGGAAAAATTTAGAGAATGTGTGAAATATGTCAAAGGATCTTCAGCAAGAAAAACAAGGTTTTGTCAATGTTGCTCACAAAATCTTTTGGACACCAATAAAGCTTTGATGCAAGATGTTCCTACTAGGTGGAATTCCACGTATAGGATGCTTTCTTGTGAACTTTATTATCGACTAACCTTTTCGCATCTTAGTTTGAGTGATTCTAACTTTCAAGATTGCCCGTCTTCTGATGAATGGGAAAGAATTGAGAAAATGTGTAGCTTTCTGAAAGTGTTTTATGATGCGGCTTTTCAGTTCTCGGGATCTCTTTATCCTGCTTCAAATTTGTATTTCCCTCAAATCTTTGGAATACATTTTATGTTGGTTGAAGAGATGAAAAGTCCTGATGAGTATATGAAAAAATAGCTACTCAAATGGGGAATAAGTTCAAATAAATATTGGGTTGATTTTTATCTTCTGTTAGCTATAGCCGTGGTGTTTGATCCTAGATATAAGTTGATGTTTGTTGACTTTTTCTATAAAAAACTTTATGGAGAAGGTTCATCACAATTTAAGGCTATTGAGAGTGCCCTTTATGAACTTTATGATGAATACATGCAAGATTCAAAAAATGCAACCACATTCGACTCGACATCACATCAAGGGAGCATTGAAAACATTAGACAAAGTAATGTTGGGGGAGATTCTAATCAAAACAACATTCTTGAGGTAAATCACATTTTCTAATTATCATTAAATTTGCTTTTATAGTTTAGTTTTTAAATATACTAAATTACTAATTCGTTTTTATATATATTATTTTTAACTATAGGAGTTTGACGAATATGATAATGATGATTCGGGTTCCAATACCACAAGTCAATTGCATGTATACCTTCTTGAGCCAAGACCTAAAAGAACTTTTTCTGTTAATATGCTTGACTTTTGGAAAGCCCAACAATATAGGTATCCAAAATTAGCTAAATTAGCTATGGATATACTTTCTGTTCCCGTTTCAACAGTAGCATATGAATCGGCTTTTAGTCTTGGTGGAAGAATTCTGAATGAATATCGAAGTTCCATGAAGCCTGATGTGGTTGAAGCTTTAGTTTGTACTAGGGATTGGTTGTTTAGAGAAAAAGGTAATATTTCATAATTTATTTGTATTAACTAAAATTTTGTACTAATTGTTCTTTTTTTCCTATTCCTTGTGCAGTTGATTTGAATGTGGCTGTTGACAACCGAACTCAAAATGTAATGAATTTGAACATCAACGAATTCAATACGAAGGCTACAAATTCCAACATACTTTAGGTTGTCATTTGGTGAGTTTTTTTTGTATAATTATTTATGTAGCTTTCAAAAGATCATAAATTTAATTTTGCATATTGTTTCTATTTGAAGATCATCTTGAAGAAGTCGATGTTGGAGGAAGAAATGGGAACTATCGCATTTGATTTTTGGATATGTTTGAACAATTACACTTTGCATGAACGTGTTGATTTTCAATTTTATTTGGATGTTTATGACTTTATGTTGAATGTTTAAGACTTTATGACTTCATTTTATTTGTATTTTTCAATTTCATTTTAAAATGTGTTGCTTATTAAATGGGTTATATGGGTTGGGTTCGACCCACTAACCCATGAACTCATATATTTATACGGGTTATATGAGTTGGATTGGGTTGATGTTTTCAACCCGGCAACTCGTGATCCGCCAACCCACGAACCCATATATTATATGGGTTGGATTGAGTCAATGTATTCTGACCCACCAACCCGTGACCCGCCAACCCGAACCCAACCCAATATTTAACCCTTTACAAACTCCTGTAGAGGTTGCATAGAAGATTTTTCTTTTTTTTTTTAAGGCCAAATATTATGGTTGGAAAAAGTCGATGACTCGGACTCTGAAAACCCCACAACCACAAAAACCATAAATCCAAGCAAATAAGCAAAAACAGAAAAGAAATCGAAGCGAATAGAAAACAAATCATGGATGTTTGCTCACTCCCACTCATCAAAATCCCCCTCCTATTACCTTCTCTTCTTCTAGGAGTAGGAACTCTACCATCAAATTCAATCTCCCGCCATTTCCCATCTTTCTATTACAAGAATCAGTTCTCATCATCATCATCATCCAACTACAATTACAAGCCATCAGCATCGTATCGTTTTCCTCCTGGTAGACGTTCCATCGAAGAAGACGAAGATGACGATGATGAAGACGATTTGGTCGGTGGCGGCGCTAAGTTCACAGAGGCGGTGGCGCTATTTAACAGCAGAGATTACCATGGATGCCATGACTTTCTAGAATCAATTTGGAACGATTCCGAAGATCCCATCAGATCCCTCGTTCACGGAATCCTACAGTGCGCCGTCGGCTTCCACCATCTCTTCAATCAGGTAGGTCACTTTCTCATCCAATTCCAACAATTAATTAATTAACTTTCATCTCATATGTTTTTTATTTTAACAGAATCATAAAGGCGCGATGATGGAGATCGGAGAGGGAGTCTGCAAGTTACGAAAACTAAATTTCGACTCCGGACCTTTTCATCAATTCGAAAGAGACATGTCTGCAGTTCTGGATTTCATTTATCACACCCAGATAGAGTTCGCCGCCTGTAAGTTTAGTTTTTTTTATATTACACAAAAATTATCCAGTGAGTTTTGCATAAGATTAATTTAGTTGTATATTATTAATTAATCAGGTAACGAAGACATGTGTGTTGCTATGGATCAATCGGAAACCTCATACAAACTTCTGGGTGGTTATGGCGCCGGAAAACATCTATACTGGTTAGAAATGGATGGATCTGCAAGCTTATATATAGTTTTTTGCCCTGATAGATCTAATACTTCTGATAACCAGCCAAGGGTTAGACTTCCAATTCTTTACGCTTCTCAAGAACATCTTATGGACTTAATATGATTTGATGGACGATTATTGTTTAAGATTTGTTAGATTTCAATCGCAAAGGGAAATCATGAAACTATATTTAGAGAGACAGATATGTGCATACAATCCAGTAATTACAAATAAAAGTTGATAAAAATAAGACAACCTAAAGGGCAGATGGAAAGGATGGCAAGATTAGCCCTTCGCTTTTCCGACACATACAAATTATCTACAACCTACAACATGAGTGGTAGTTTTTTTTGGCTATGTTTATAATGTACAGTTACTTGTTGAAGAAGATGATGATGATGATCAATAACAAAGCGAAAATCAGTTTAGTACCTGTTTTTGTTCACGAAATCTCAATCGTTTTTCTTTCAGAATTCACAAGAACTTCCTAACCTCTGTTTAAACAAGCTCGTGCTCTTTTTCTCCTCAAAAGCCTCTGGCAAAAGCTCCTCAAAACACTCCAAGAACAATAACCATTCGTCTTCCTTAATTTCCTCAAACGAAACACACACCCCATTCTCATGATTGTTGTTATGACCCGCAAAACTTACACTTCTTAGTATCATCGGATTCGGACCACACCCACCCTCTTTTATATCACATTCTTGTACTAATCTTGCCAAACGCGCATCAACGGCTAAAAATTTCATTGTTTTTTGTGGTTTTACGGATGCCGGATGCATTGAAACGTCATCGTTCGTGTTCAAATTCTCATCAAACGCAAACATTTCATCATCTTTGACTTCATTACTTGTGTTTGTTGTTAATTCGGCCTCCAATTTAGCTTTCGCGTTCATGCAAATATTTTCCAAAATACTCCAATTCTCTTCACCTCCGATGAACTCTCTAGTCATCATTTGACCAATATCAGCAAGAGAAAGTCCAGCACATGTCGCCCTTTTCAAGAAAATTGTACAAAGTATGAAAACACGTACGGAGCATTCTCGGATTAAAGGAAGTTCGGTTCTTAAAAGTTCAGCATCTTTAAACGGGTCAAGATTTGAGATATACTCGGCTTCTGTTTCTGAAAAGGGCATTGAACTTTGGGGCCAATGGAGCCATTCGAAATACGGGTCGTCTAATGATTCGGGTAAACAAAACCCGTGATCAATTGGGATAAGTTCAGCCACCCCAGCAGCATAACTTCCATGGAAATTCTTCACAAGCATGTTTCCCGCATGTCTGTCCAGATTAAGAAGCCGGATGTCAAGGATCCCGATACGGTGAACTGAACTGATTGAGAATCCGGAAGGTCCCAAGTCTCCTGCATCTGTTTCGTGCTCTACATATCGTTGTATTGATGTGATTTTGAAGGGTGGAGATGAAGTTGAAGTTGAAGTTGAATTGTTTATGTTGAACGTGACATGACAGATTTTGACAAGTGCTGAAGGAGGGACGCCTGCAAAACCATCATGGTCAAGCAAATAAGCAGCGAGTTCCCGGAGCCCCGTTTCGCCAACTCGGATGGAGCGTTTCATCCCGGGTTGACCCAGCATCCGACCCGCAAACCCTTTAGGATTGTTGAAGGCTAGTGGTTCTTCATCGGCTGGCTTAACGACTGCAATAGTGTTGCCTTTTCTTGATTGTAGATAGTAGGCCCCACCAAGACCACTGGACACGGGTTTGGGTTTGACCCCGGATGCTAATGCGATTGCAACCTCGGCTACAAGGGCGTGAACCATTGGAGCCTTACGACCGCTGATGATTTCGATTCGTGGATTTGGGGATTCAAACTCTTCCTTTGCTTTTGTGGCTAAGGAAAGGCATGGGGTGGAATAGCTTCTGTGAAAATTAGGGGTGAGATTGGAGGGATGTGTGATGTTATGGGTGAATTCAAGCATGGTAGGATCGAAGTGAGAGTAAGATTGGAGTCTGCATCTTGGGAGTCGAGCAAGTGGCCTAAATCCATGAGCATGATCAACAACTACAGCCATCCTGGTGTATATCATCAAGGTATGAATGGCTGCAACACATGCTAAAAGAGCAGGTTCTAAGAATATCTTTCAGAGGGTTCGTCTTTCCCTAGGAGATTAGCCATCACATGTCTGCCAAAAAAATCAAAATAACAAGTAGCTACAATTGACCTGCAGATACATTAACCATAATTAGCACATGCATACATGATCGATCATCTATACCATACTTCCCCTACTTTACCAAAAACATTATGGCTAACAGTGTTCCTTATTAATCGCAGCATTCATGTTCTTTCCAAAATTTCAGGCGAAAATTACAATTTGCTGATTGTTATTTATTTCAAATCAATTTTATGGTATGAATTTATCATTATTACGATTTACATTAGCAGTCGAGTGAATTGCAACTTTTCATGACCTAATTAATTATGGGATTCCTAAAACTGTAAGGAAGATAGAAACGTAAATTCATAGGGAGAGGGATATATGTTCTCACTTGACATTGGCATATTCAATTATTCATATGTCAACTGCAAGATCCAGGTCGCTAATCTCCGACCACCTGCGGAATTAAAACGGAAATTAGAACAATTTACGCTTCAGATCTTCGATCTATTGAAATGTGTAATCAATATTGGAGTTGATACCATCGTTAATTCCCTCGCTCCTCCGGTGATAGATTGCCACAATTAACCTGCAAGAGGAAATAAAAAAAGAAATCGCATGTTAATGTTAATGTTAATGCGTGTGATCTGGAAATTGGAACCTTGGCCTTGAAATGAATGTAATACTACTCCTCCATTCCAAAATCCACGAGCACTTGGTCTTTGTGAATAACAAAAACAAAGTGTTGTAAAATTGACGAACGGAGGATAGGATTGGATTAAAAGAGAAAAAGGAGGATGAGAAGAGAAGAGAAAAGAGACCCTGAACACTGGTGAGGCATTCAGGGAGAGCGGAATCGGCAATTTGGAGAGCGCGAGAGAGAAAGATGAATTCCGTCACGAAAAAAGCCTTTGTAATATAAAATGTAGAACGACGAAGAAGAAAGAAAGAAAAAACGAATCCCCCACCCCTTTCCTCTCTCTCTCTCCTTCCTTCATCTGCCTTTAAACAAAATGCATTTCACCTACAAAATAGGGCGGGTGTCTGCCTTTAAAATATTAAAATACTAACAAAATAACCCTACCGGTTCACTCCCAACCCAATTATCGAACCGTTTAATTCACACAACAATATAACAATTTAAAAAAAAAAAAATGAAATATGCTTATTAACCAAGATGCAGCTGAACTGAGAAAAGATCCAAATACGACAAGAGATTGAAAGGGAAAAATAGAATCGGAACCGGACCACCATAGTCTAAACTAGTGTCGTGTTGGTTATCGGTTCCAAAACATGATTTCAGTCCAAAGTCATTTTTAGCCCTATGATATAGCACTTTTTAACCCTTTTACACTCGAAATCACTTTCTACTTCAACAACTTTCAAATGTCACCAACCTCATGTTCAATAAAAAAAAATTTATGATTTTATACGATTTTTACAACATTACAACTATCAGATTTCTGCCCAAATTCATTTTCCAACTCTTTGTTGTAGCACTTTTTCAACCATGTTACACTCAAAATCACTTTATGACTTGTAAATAAGAACTAAAGCAGACTCTTACAGCTTTTCAGATGGTGAAAACCTCATGTTCATTAGATTTTTCAATATTTTTTTACGATTTTCATAACACATCATATTACAAAATTTTATGTCCAATTCTAAATCCGGTCTGATGCGGTTCTTTCGTTGGAACCGGAAACCCCAAAATCTAATAAATCGGGAACCATAAAGACCGGTATGGGTCGGTTCGGTTCGGTCCAGTCCAAACACTCCAAATGCTCATGCCTAAGCGAAACTCTTGAAAGAATTTAATTGAAAATATAGCAATGTATTTTTTTTAATTGTTTACCATAGCATCCTACTTTCATTTATTTTTAATACTTCAAAAAGTCTACCCAAAACTTCATTCAAACACAAAGCAATATTTTGGTAGAGTTTTGAAAGTATTGTACGTTAAAGGAAAAAATGTAAGTACAATGATTTGATGGAAAGATTTTTTAAAGTATAATGGTTTAATAAGAGAAGAATTGAAAGAATAATGTTGTAATAGAAAGTAATGAAAGTAAGATGATATTATTTATAATCGGATAGAATTTTGAGTGTAACAACCCTCGGTAGTTTGAAAACACACATTTAAAACCATTTTAGTTTTTTTTTTTTTTGAATATGGGTTTTAAAAGCTTTGTGGAATAACAAATGGTCCCAAAAGTGTTCAAAATGTTTGATTGTTTCATAATGCGAGGTGTTAATAGGTATCATAAACAAGATTCAAGTTCCCCACAAGTCGGGGTCTTTTAAAATGTTCTGCACCTCTAGTCTCTTAAATTATTCAATCTGAATACACATAAAAATAAGTTAGGCAGTGGATTTGCCTAGCAAGTTACTCGAGATTGGTTCGTTTAGAGAGTGAGGATGTAAACCCAACTAACTCGAACCAAACCTCCAAAAAGAAGTTCAAATACTAGAACACTTGGGATTTAATAACCCAAATCAAATTGAAGGGTCTTATATGCCCAAAGGATCGACATTGAACCATATTATTCCAAAAGAACTCATAAGTCCCACAATTCGCATAAAAGGGATAAACCGTGATTATGTCATAAAATGAGATGCAATGCATGCAACTATTCACACCCTTTGTCAATATCATACGTTCAACTCACAAATTTGGCGGCTTGAATATTCCAGACTCGTGGTTAGTGTCATCAAGGAACCACTACCAGCTTTTATCCCATATTTTCAACATTAGGCAATTAGGGGAGCCACCACCCTATGCCACACAAGGGGTAGCTAGCCAGCATGTTCACGTGAGGATTAATCTCTTAACCCCAGTCGTCTGACTAGAAGTTGTAGAGTGACATATACGTATAGTACCATCTTCAGAAACTATTATAATTATATTATAATTATTAGGAGTTCATGATGGAAGCATACGACAGATACATTTTGTATGTGACCTTCTAATGTCTGCACCTAATTTTGCTTTGATATTTCCACACATGTATAACCACTTTCTCACAAATTTATATTGTGGATCAAGGTTAAGCTATTAAACGCATATAAGTTATAACCAAGCCCAAGCAATATCAGCCAATTTCGTTCTAAAATACATCAGTCGTTAACATAGATAATTATATACTATTATATGAGATATGATGTTAGAAAGATGAGGTATAGAAAGGCTTGGAATTCTGAGAATTGTGTTAAACACTATCAGATTAAAGCATTTGGGTGGTACTCCCAATATTCTTTAATCGGATAAGACTCAGAGAGACAAGAACTTAGAATGTTTTGAAGATAGTTTCGTATATACCAGAAATGAGACCAAAACCGACTTTATGATCTTTGTCTGAAAACTGTCATATGACAGTTTCAAATTGTCATAAAACTATAAAAACTGTCATAAAAATGGAAGTTTGAATAAGGGTCAAACAATGGTCAATTCTCTGAAAATCCGACTTTATGATCTTTCTCTGCCGCTTGGACCCCGCCAGGGGCTGCCGCTCCTTGGACCCCGCTCCCAGGGGCGCTGCCCCCGGACCCCCGTTCGTTTAGGGGCTTCGCCCCTAAATGACATTGTACTTTGAAACTTGATCAAACTTAAACAAGTGTGTACTCCCACACCTTCCTTACTTGTTTAATATTTATCAAGATCTCTTTTGGTCAACAACGTAATCCCATTACACTTAATAATATTGATGATAACAAATCACCAACAAACCTCCCCCATTTAAGTGTAATCTTGATTAACTTAAAATGAAAACATAACACCAACAAACTGATGCAAAATGAAAATGTCGTGACGATTGAATTTCACATTAGTATATTACACAATCCAAATATTCGAATATTAGGGTGTCACTAAGGATTGAACCATTTCTATCCATAGTGAATACATGAAGATAATACACACAACAGTTTACATTCTCATAAGTTCTAACTTGACACTATATTTTACTAGCTTGTGTCCCATCCTTCAATAAGCATATCAAAATCAAGTCCTAACTTCTTGAAGCATCTAAACTTCATGCTTATATAGGTAGTCCTTTTATTTTTGCACCTGCAAATGCAATTTTTCAAAAGAACTATTAAGAATATAAATTCAACCTCCTTTACTAGCATTACTGAACACATACCTTGGGATGATGATAATAATGTGTTCCAATTTTCAAATATCAAGCTTTCCACATTGAATTCAACATCTAATATCACATTAGATGGGAATTGGGTATCTCAATATAAAAGATTTTAATTGGACTTTAAGCCCATCCCTACAGACGCCTTGTGCACAATATCTCTTGCTAACCTTTTGGTTAGATGATCGGCTAAATTCAACTGGGTTCTTATAAACTCCACAAATATCACAGCAGTCATGATGAGCTCACGAATCATGCTATGTCTAACACCTAAATGTCTAGACTTTCCATTGAACACTTGACTATAAGCCTTAGCCAAGGTTGCAGCACTATCACATCTGATAGAAATGGTAGATATCGGTTTGGGCCACAATGGAATTTCATAAATCAAATTCCTTAGCCACTCAGCTTCTTTACCAGCAGCAGACAAAGCAACAAACTCAGACTCCATGGTTGAGTTAGTAATACAAGTATGTTTCTTAGATACCCAAGAAATGACACCTCCTCCAAGAAGAAACACCCAACCACTAGTAGAGGAGTGATCCTCTAAGTTGTTAATCCAGCTGGTATCTGAATAACCTTCCAAAATAGAAGGATATCCACTATAAGTTAAACCATAATTCATGGTCCCTTTTAAGTACTTGAATACTCTACTCACAGCTTGCCAATGATGTGTACTAGGATTACTAGTATATCTACTAAGCCTTCCTACAACATAAGCTATATCAGGCCTAGTACTAATCATGGCATACATGAGACAACCAATAGCCC